AGTACCATTAAACCCTTAAAAATTTTCAAAATGGAAAATAAAATTGGTTTGGGCCTGTCGACCCATTTCACGTGTAGGTGGAGTAGAGTAAAACCCTGGTGCATTTTGTTCAACACCAAACATAATTGTTGTAATTTTTTGAAGCCAAAAATTACCATCGCGTTTAGGGCTATATAATTCAAATGTCTTTTTCAAATCATTGATACAAATAACTTTTGATATTTCCTAATCACTCCAAATGCATGAAAGGGATGAACTTTGGGCAAAAAAATTTATTTAATGTTTTTTAATAAATTAATTACGCATTTATTACAGTTTTAGAAATAATTATATATTTATTGCACAATAAGACCCCATTTTCGGCGTCATTCAAGAGGCAATCACAACTAAATTTGGGCGTCACTCATCAGGTGTTGAATGCCTTGGGACTTGGGAGTCACGTCAACTTAGACGTGAATGGTCACGTCTAATTTGGGCATGAATGAATGTAGTATATTCGTAATTAGGTTTAAAATAGAAACTTATTGGTAATTATTTATTAAAAAAGCAATATTTTAATTTTTTTTTTTGCCGGATTGGAGCTAATATTCCATAACTAGGCAAAAAAAAATTAAAATATTACTTTTTTAATAAATAATTACCAATAAGTTGCTGTTTTGAACCTAATTACGAATATACCGCACTCACTCACGCCCAAATTGGGCATGACTATTCACGCCTAAGTTAGGTATGACTCACAAGACCTTTACGCCTAATTTAGGCGTGACTCTTCACGCCTAACTTTTTTTTTATATTAAAAAAGTTAACAGTTTAACCGTAAAACTTCATAAGACCATAACTTTTGACTCGGATATCAGAATGAAGAGTTTTTTTTTGTTTCCGCATAACTTTTCGAGATCTACGCAATGACACCTCATTTGACATATTTTATCTTTCACAAACACATTTCAAATTTGCAACAATGGTACTATTCGAGCGTTTAAATCCATACGCCTCTTAGTTCTTTCCGAATCAACACCAAACACAGTCTTCTGCCTACTAGAACCTCTTGTTGGGCTTCCTCCTTCAATGCTAAGCCCAAGCCCATTGAGGGGTTTCCTAAAAATCCTAAACCCTAGATCTGACCTCCTCTATATATTCATTAGTTGTGGGTGGATGCTAGGTTAGAGAGAGAGAAATTTGAGAGCAAAGCTTTAAGCTTTGTATTTGAGAGATCCCTAGAGAAAGTTTGAGTGAAACATCTCTAGGGTAGTTTGATTATCACCATTGTTGGAAAGGTTGTGTTAACCACCATATTGGTGTATTTTGATTATTTGTATCCATTATTTTCATAGTGGACGTTTGATCTGGATTAGGTCCCGTGGGTTTTTACTTCTTCATTGGAGAAGGTTTTTCCACGGTAAAACTGTTTGTGTTCTCCTTTTCTCTCTCTCCTCTTTGTGTTTTTCATTTTTTCGCTGAGCTGCCCGACCTGGTTAAGTTCAGGCCGAGGTAATTGTCGAGATCCGAGACCCAGGATCTTGTTGATTGACTTCCATGCAAAAGGCTGTTTAACCGACTTGAGGGAATCGAGTTCCCAACACCTCTATCCCTATCCTATGGGCTGTATTCTTATCATTGTGAATAAAGACTTTATCTTTTAAGTCATGGTATGAAATTAAAGATGGCATCAAAGTGGATTAGTCTATCTATAAATAAGAATACTTAATGTCATATTAAAATATATACTTTCTACAAGTCTTTGAAAAAAAATAGTGTACAAGGTTATTGAATCGCAATACATGTATCGTTTGGCCGATTTTTCGTATCTTGTATCGTGAATCATATCGAATCGTAAGATACAGAAATATAATAAAAAATAATTTTAAAATATACAGAAATATGGATTCGTTTGAAGCTGGTAACCTCTGAATGGTTTTCAAAAATAAAATCCTTCTTTCTTAGAGATTTAAAATATTTATTTAATTATTTTCTTTATTAATACAAATTTTTCAGGTTGATATTTGAGTTAAAATCACAATCAAATCTTTATTTTGTTTTCCTTATTATTAATAATTTCTTAGATTTTTTTAATTTAAATCACAAACCAAATTTTATGTATTTTTTATATTAAAAATTTAAAAAAATTATTTTTTAATTTAAATCAAAAACCAAATCTTTATTTATTTTTTATATTAAATCGTAAACCCAGAACTTAGAGTCTTCTGGATTTAAACGCTCTTGAATATCATTATTGTGATTCGAACTGTGTTTGTGATATATAAAATATGTCAAATGAGGTGTCATTGCGTAGATATCGAAAATTTATGTGGAATCAAAAAAAATTACCTGATTTGGAAATAAATTTATTTAATGTTTTTTAAGAAATTAATTACGCATTTATTACAGTTTTGGAAATAATTACATATTTATTGCACAACAAGACGCCCATTTTGGGCGTCACCATTGACGCTTAAATTGGGCGTCACTCAAGAGGCAATCACGCCTAAATTCGGGCGTCACACATCAGGTGTTGACATGTGTCATATTTTTTTTTCCAAAAATAATAATAATTTAATCATAAAACTTCTAAAATCCATAACTTTTGACTCGTGTATCCAAATCAGGTAATTCTTTTTTTGATTCCACATAACTTTTCGAGGTCTACGCAATGACATCTCATTTGACATATTTTATTTCTCGCAACCATAATTTAAATTTACAAGAATGGTATTATAAGAGCGGTTAAACCCAGAAGCCTCTCAGTTCTGGGTTTGTGATTTAATATAATAAATAAATAAAATTTTTATTTGTGATTTAATTTTTTTATAATAATTGTTTTTTATTATAAAAAATTTTATTTGTGATTTAAATTAAAAGTAAAAATAAAAATTATTATTAATAAGGAAAACAAAATAAAGATTTTATTTTTGATTTAAAATAAAAAATCAATTTGAAAAATCTGTAGAAATAAAGAAAATAATTAAATAAATATTCTAAATCTCTAAGAAAGAAGGATATTATTTTTGAAATTAACAATTAATGCTATAAGCTTCTGGGTTATTATTCGTGGTCAGAAATTAATGATGGCTTATGAATGTTTTTCAAAAATAAAATTACCTAAATTAGGCGTGATTGCCTCTTGATTGAAACCCAATTTAGACGTGATTGGTGACGTGTCAGGTGTTGACACGTGTCATATTTTTTAAACTCAGAAGCCTCTGAGTTCTTGGTTTGTGATTTAATATCAAAAATAAATCATGATTTGATGTGTGATTTAAATTAAAAAAATAAAAAAAATTATAAAAAAAATTTGGTTTGTGATTTAAATTAAAAATAACAATCATTATTAATAAGAAAAATAAAGTAAAGATTTGTTTTGTGATTTAAACTCAAGAATCAATTTGAAAAATCTGTATTAATAAAGAATATAATTAAATAAATATTCTAAATCTCTAAGGAAGAAGAATTTCATTTTTAAAAATATTCATAAGCCATCATTTATTTCAGTCTACGAATTAAATCACAAATCAAATTTTTATTTATTTATTTTTAATTTAAATCACAAATCAAATATTTTTTTTATTTTTTTATATTAAATCACAAACCCAGAACTCGGTGGCTTCTCGGATTAATCACTCTTATAATATCATTTTTGCAAATTTAAATTATGTTTGTGAGAAATAAATTATATCAAATGAGATGTCATTGCGTAGATCTCGAAAAGTTATGTGGATTAAAAAAAAGAATTACCTGATTTGGATACCCGAGTCAAAAGTTATGGCCTTCAGAAGTTTTATGATTAAATTAATTTTCTTTTGGAAAAAAAAATATGACACGTGTCAACAACTGATGAGTGACGCCCAAATTTAGGCGTGATTGCCTCTTGAGTGACGCCCAATTTAGGCGTCAATGGTGACGCCCAAAATGGGCGTTTTGTTGTGCAATAAATATGTAATTATTTCAAAAACTGTAATAAATGCGTAATTAATTTATTAAAAAACATTAAATAGATTTATTTCCAAATCAGGTATTTTTTTTATTCCACATAACATTTCGAGATCTACGCAATGACACTTCATTTGACATATTTTATCTATCACAAACACAGTTCGAATCGCAATAATGATATTCAAGAGCGTTTAAATCCAGAAGCTTCTGAGTTCTGGGTTTGCGATTTAATATAAAAAATAAATAAAGATTTGATTTATGATTTAAATTAAAAAAATAATTTTTTTAATTTTTAATATAAAAAATACATAATGATTTGGTTTGTGATTTAAATTAAAAAAATCTAAAAAAATTATTAATAATAAGTAAAACAAAATAAAGATTTGATTGTGATTTAAACTCAAAAATCAATCTGAAAAATTTGTATTAATAAAGAAAATAATTAAATAAATATTTTAAATCTCTAAAGAAGAAAGATTTTATTTTTGAAAACCATTCATAAGAATTACTTTAATTTGAATAAGTACTAGTATTTAAATAAAAAAACAAGCTTAAGTTTCTTTTATTTTTTTGTGTTAATATATATTTTTTGTCGAATCAAAAGTAAAAAAAAAAACTTTTGCAATAAAATATTAACGGCCCTAAATGAAAAAATCTTGTCGTACATAATATTCATTCACATAAACTAACTAAGCCATATAATAGTCATTTACATAAACTAATTAAGTAATAATCTAACATTTGATATATAATTTTTTTTTAGTATATAAAAATTACATGCTATTTGATCCAATAGGGCTAGTTGATTTTACAGGTTGACGGGTTAACCTCGGGTTCAACCCATCACGTGTAAAACCTTCTCTTTCCCTTTCTCTCATTCTTATATAAGTTTCGTTTACCCGGCAACTTTGCAAAACACAACCACTCACGCATAATTACATATGTGCTCTCCCAAATTTTCTCGAGAAAATTTCCAGCTTTCCTTTGCGTTCAACACTGTGCGCAGTGTGGTTTTTCTATTCTTCCTTCTTGTTTTCGCTGTTTTTCTTGCTCTTTTTTTCTTCCCGTAAATGGTATTGTGGGGTTTGGTTGAAGAGGTTCCGGCGCCGAAGTCCATGGCGACGAGTCCCACGAGATCAAACCCTCTTCACAATTTCACGTTCCCTTCCCCTTTCTTGAAGTGGGGAACCCAGAGGAGCATCATTTTCACTAGCGCTGACGATGCCGGAGTTTCTGGCAGCGGTGATCAGCGTTTTGCCGGGTCAAAGACTGAGGAATCAATGGCGACGCAGAAGAAGGAATCGGAGCCTGAGAAGAAGCATGCGGTGAATGCGAGGCGTTCGAAATGGCGACGCTCCGGCGAGGATGAGGATGGCGTCGCCGCAGTGAGGCAGAAGCTGACGCTTGATCTGAAGAATCAGGCACATAGGTTGAAAGAAGTGATTTTGGGGAATGAAGAAGAACCTGTGAAGCCGTGGAATATGAGAAAGTGTAAGGCTTCAATTGCTGCAATTGTTAGTATGGAAGGGTTAAAGATTCATGATCATGATGATGTTGATAAGAACAAACCCAATTGCTCCTCGCCAGCGATGACTGACAATGGCGTCATTGAGTTACCGAAATTGAGAAGTAATTCTGAAAAGGTGAAAATGGTGAAATTTCATGTGGAGTTATCCAAGAAGGAGATTGAGGATGATTTCGTGGAGATGTTGGGTCGTCGCCCACCTCGCAGGCCCAACAAGAGGCCCAAAGTTGTGCAGAAGAAATTAGATGTTGGTTGCTTATGCCCTTTTCATTATGTTTAACATTTTTGTGTTTGTTTTAGTTTTTTTAGCACAGTAGTTTTTTTTATTTTTGTTAACACTGTGATTTTGATTTTTGTGCAGGATATTTTCCCCGGGTTGTGGTTGACAGAGATTACTGCTGATCGTTATAAGATTGTTGAGAAGGTGCGTCCTTCCAAAAAAGGGAAGGGCAGTCCCTCTAAGAAAAGGAAAGGCAGTCCCTCTAAGAAAAGGAAGGGCAAGGGCAGTCCCTCTAAGAAAAGGAAGGGCAAGGATAAGTGATTTCACATATTCTTTTGATAGATGAGTTGATCTTGCCTATCCGACTTTGATATATATAATGCATTCTTTTCTTTATAAGAGTACTTCGCTTACTTTCTAACTTGCTTAACATGTTCTTTGGCCTCTACGTATAACAATTTTAAACTTTCATTTCAGTTAGTAGGTATTGGCACTTGTTAGGATTTGGTGGTATAGTCTCTTATTTCTTAGTATTGTTTAAGTTTGGTCTAAATTTGATTTTATTAATCCTTAGTTCTTACACTGTTGCTTATGGATTGCATTGGACCATTGTTAAAGAGAATTGTTTTTTTTTTTTTTTACAGTTTTTTACTTTTTCTCCCAAAATCCCATCAAATGAATGCTCTGTTTCTTCTTTCGTTACCGGTACTGTTTTGCCTCATAGCATGGAATAGAAACCCGTTTTATGTAGTTGCTTGTTCTCCTTTGTAGCGAGAGCTTTTGGTTGCTGAACTTTTAATATAACAGAATTTATTTATTTTTGAAAGTTGTCCTTTGTAGCATGGCATATTGGAAACTGAGATTTTCTAATCTTAGTATAGGGTTAGAAATTATTCAAATTACAAAGACTAAATATGGTGTGGTCAAAACTTTCAGGGAGGGTACAGAAGTTGCTGGTAGAAGATTTTCAACAAACAAAAATAAAGTGAAATGACATGAATGGGCTTCGTGAAAAACATTATCTTACACTGAATTGAAGTTCATGTGAGTAATACAAAAAAAATTAAATTCTGTTATATTAAAAGTTCAGCAACCAAAAGCTCTCGCTACAAAGGAGAACAAACAACTACATAAACCGGGATTCTATTCCATGCTATGAGGCAAAACAGTACCGGTAACGAAAGAAGAAACAAAGCATTCATTTGATGGGATTTTGGGAGAAAAAGTAAAAAGCTGTAAAAAAAAACAATTCTCTTTAACAATGGTCCAATGCAATCCATAAGCAACAGTGTAAGAACTAAGGATTAATAAAATCAAATTTAGACCAAACTTAAACAATACTAAGAAATAAGAGACTATACCACCAAATCCGAACAAGTGCCAATACCTACTAACTGAAATGAAAGTTTAAAATTGTTATACCTAGAGGCCAAAGAACATGTTAAGCAAGGTAGAAAGTAAGCGAAGTACTCTGATAAAGAAAAGAATGAATTATATATATCAAAGCCAGATAGGCAAGATTAACTCATCTATCAAAAGAATATGTGAAATCACTTATCCTTGCCCTTCCTTTTATTAGAGGGATTGCCATTGCCCTTCCTTTTCGTAGAGGGACTGCCTTTCCTTTTCTTAGAGGGACTGCCCTTCCCTTTTTTGGAAGGACGCACCTTCTCAACAATCTTATAACGATCAGCAGTAATCTCTGTCAACCACAACCCGGGGAAAATATCCTGCACAAAAATCAAAATCACAATGTTAACAAAAAAAAAAACTACTGTGCTAAAAAAACTAAAACAAACACAAAAATGTTAAACATAATGAAAAAGGCATAAGCAACCAACATCTAATTTCTTCTCACAACTTTAGGCCTCTTGTTGGGCTTGCGAGGTGGGCGACGACCCAACATCTCCACGAAATCATCCTCAATCTCCTTCTTGGATAACTCCACATGAAATTTCACCCTTTTCACCTTTTCAGAATTACTTCTCAATTTCGGTAACTCAATGATGCCATTGTCAGTCATCGCTGGCGATGAGCAATTGGGTTTGTTCTTATCAACATCATCATGATCATGAATCTTTAACCCTTCCATACTAACACTTGCAGTAATTGAAGCCTTACACTTTCTCATATTCCACGGCTTCACAGGTTCTTCTTCATTCCCCAAAATTGCTTCTTTCAACCTATGTTCCTGATTCTTCAGATCAAGCGTCAGCTTCTGCCTCACTGCAGCGACGCCATCCTCATCCTCGCCGGAGCGTCACCGTTTCAAACGCCTCGCATTCACCGCTTGCTTCTTCTCAGGCTCCGACTCTTTCTTCTGCGTCGCCATTGATTACTCAGTCTTTGATCCGGCAGAACGCTGATCACCGCTGCCAGAAACTCCGGCACCGTCAGCGCTAGTGAAAATGATGCTCCTCTGGGTTCCCCACTTCAAGAAAGGGGAAGGGAACGTGAAATTGTGAAGAGGGTTTGATCTCATGGGACTCGTCGCCATGGACTTCGGCGCCGAAACCTATTCAACCAAACCCCTCAATACCATTTACGGGAAGAAAAAAAGAGCAAGAAAAACAGCGAAAACAAGAAGGAAGAATAGAAAAACCACACTGCACCCAGTGTTGAGCGCAAAGGAAAGCTGAAAATTTTCTCGGGAAAATTTGGGATAGCACATATGTAATTATGCGTGAGTGGTTGTGTTTTGCAAAGTTGCCGGGGAAACGAAACTTATATAAGAAAGAGAGAAAGGGAAAGAGAAGGTTTTACACGTGATGGGTTGAACCCGAGGTTAACCCCTCAAACTGTAAAATCAACTAGCCCTATTGGATCAAATAACATGTAATTTTTATATAATAAAAAAAATTATATATCAAATTTTAGATTATTACTTAATTAGTTTATGTAAATGACTATTATATGGCTTAGTTAGTTTATGTGAATGAATATTATGTACGACAAGATTTTTTCTTTTAGGGCCGTTAATATTTTATTGCAAATTTTTTTTTTTTAACTTTTGATTCGAAAAAAAATATATATTAACACAAAAAAATAAAAGAAACTTAAGCTTGTTTTTTGATTTAGATACTAGTATTTATTCAAATTAAAGTAATGCTTATGAAATTATAGATACAGATACAATGATGTGCTCATTTACAATTATTTACATGTTTGGTGTTATTATTTTTTTATATAATAACATTAAAATTATTAATCAAGCTTAATATATGATTTGCATAATTATTTAAATGGAATTATTAATTTAAATCATTCTTTTGTCTTTTATTTAAACAAAATTATTGTTTGATGCTTTTTTTTTAAATTTCAGAAATATTTAAACGTTGGCTTTAACCAGATGTGATACATGCTCGAAGAAAAGACTATATGGCTACTAGCTCCCAGAGATGTATGAAAAAGACTAATTGGTGCACTACAGATAAAGGTTGGCTGAAGCTTAATATAGATGGTGCTGCAAATAGGGATAATGGAATTGCTGGATGTGGAGGGCTGTTAAGGAATGAAGATGGTAAGTTCCTGGGAGGCTTTTCAAAAAAGATTAGTTGCTGCAACTCGTTGGAAGCAGAACTATGGGGGGTGCTTAAAGGTTTAGAACTAGCGTGGGGGATTGAAGCAACAAAAATCCAGCTGGAAAGTGACTTCATTCTAGGCTTAAGAACATTGGAACCCACAACAAACAACTCCCATATATCCAGGGTAGCATAACGTGTTAGAGATTGGATTAAGCAAGAATGGGTTATCATAGCAAGCCACACACACAGAAGAAAGAACAAGTGTGCAGATTGGTTGGCTAAATATGCAAGGAACACATGAGAATTGCTAATCATGTTTATTGAACCTCCAATAGAGCTTCAACCTTTACTTTAGGATGATAATAGCTGTCTTTTGCAATACAATAGAGTAATTTCTTAGTTTTTGTTGACCGTTTGGCGTTTATATATACCAAAAAAATATATTTAAATGTTACATATTAGAAATAAAAGATTAACATTAATATATATTATTTAGTTTTTAATATTTTATTTTTTAGGCTGGTTGGCGCGAATGGGGTATATTGGTAATTTCACCCCACTCACTAATGGCGCCCCATTTTTGACAGATTAAAGATGGGTTGGGATGAATTGGCCCGTTTTGCCATTTCTGAGTGAGAGATATGTTAATTATATTTGCATCATTGATTTTGATTTTCAAGTTACCTTTCTTTATTATTTTCACAAGTTTAGTATTTATTTTTGAAGTTTTGATTCATTGTGAGGTTTTAGAAATTGGTATTTAATATTTCCTAATAATGAAGTAAATAGTTTTGGGAGAGACAATTTTTTACAAGTATATAACCATGTTTAAACTGAATTAATCATTAAATTAGTGGAAGAAATAAAAAAAATGATATTCCTATAAATTTATAAGGCTTGAGGTAATTTTAAAAGTTTGCTTGATCGATCAGGGAAAATAATTTTGCTATGTGAATGAGTAATGTCCCAAAAATGGCTTATGTACAGCTGGGGGACAAAAAGTTATCTAGTAATTTTTTTGGGTAACAAATATTTGGGACTTTGGTCTTGTGATTTTGTGTTGTTCTTTAACTCTTTTTCAGATCAAAGTCTCAAACATGGGACGAGTGAGTTTGTGCAGTCTTTCGCTATTTTAGCAAATCAAACAGAAGCAAGAAGTTGGTAAAATATATAAAATATATATTAATTATTATAATTTATTAATGAATAATTCTCAAAAATAATAATACATCAATACTTTATTAGATTAGGCCCTTCCTCATAATTAAGTCCTAAAAAATAGAGGAAATTATCCTTGTTTTTAAGTTAAGAAAAATCTAAAATATTCATAAAAAATAGAATCTTAAAGAATTATTTGATAATATTTCTTTTATAAAATACAAAATAAAGGAAGATTTGATTTTGAAAACAATATTCTCTCCTCATATTTGTTTCCTTATTCTCCTTTATTAAAATATTTTATTATATAAAAACTCTAATTATCTTTAACAAAAAATATTGTTGCATTGCATCTACAAAGCGTAAAATTCGATACGTCTCATGTTGTTTGTGTAAAAATTTTCATCATCAATAATCCAACATAAAGATCATTACATGTATCATGTATGATAAATAAAACACCATATATCTTCTAAGAGGAATTTATGTACCTGATTGGTCATCTTATCTACTGAGCGAAGAACCTTGATCTCACGGCTAGAGTCTTCTTCTCTATGACCTATTCTAAAATGGCAGCCTTTAGCGATGTGAGCATGACAGCTCATGAGGCTTAACCCCAATATAAATAGGTTAGAGAGG